GTGGGCAGAGCAGGGGACAGCGTCCTTTCCATCACCACCTGGGTAATACTGAAGCAATTACACTGAGCCTCTGCCTTCCGCCCTTGTCTGCTCAGCCGGTATGATCACAAATCCCTCTGATTCCACTCAACACACAGTGATTTCTGTCTGGACCCTTATTTCAGAGATTGTCCTAAGGCTCAGCAAAGCCAAAGAAAGACTTTCCCCTGAGTTCAGAGAGTTCTGAACCAAGCAGTTGTGGGCTCATCACTGCCAGCTGCTGTACGAACAAGCAGCAACATACCTCACGTGTGGTTTACATCTCCTCCCCGTATTCTCTTGTCCTTTTTTTCCACAAGTGGACCTGCAGCCGACACAATTTATCCTAGACTGGAAGCAAGCTAGCAACAACAGCTGGCATGGGGCAATGATCTCTGCACCCAGCAGTCCTAACAGTTGGCAGCGGTTTTGTTTAAAAGATCACAGCAAAGAAGCATCTGGCAGAGAAATGAGAAAATAATGTGAATGAGGTGAGGGTGTTCATCACCCTCGATTTTGTTCGTAGTGAAGCCAGATGGGAGTGGTGAGGGATGAAGCATTGAGAGTGTGTAGGATCCATGCGATGACCAAGGGAAATAAATAAAACTTAGCCCTCTGATAACAAAGTAGGCAGGCTTGGGTCTTGGGTGAGAGCAAAACTCGACTGCTGCCCAACGTCATGTACAAACAGGCACCCCAAGAGCAGACACATTTGAGAGAGGGATCTCTGTGTTTATTTCTGTTTTGGAGTAGCTTTATCACAGACTTTTCTCTGCAGCGATTTCTGCAGCCCTAGTCTGTAAATGTATGCGCTGCTGCTTAGCAGAGATGGAAATGACACAGCTAGAGATGAGCTTCCCCGTCTGACTGGCATGCTGACTTCAAAGCCTGGCTTTGATTATTTAAATGCTAATAGGACTCAGCAAATTACCTCAAGTACAAACACACCTGGCTTCAGTCCTAGGGATCTAATTATGGAGCCTTTAATGTGAAATAAATTGTTTTTCTTTCTGAAAAGTGGCTTTGTAAGTGTTCCCACAAAATGCCAGGTGATGGGCTGGCACATTACAGCTCAGCCTCTGCGGAACCGGAGCTCTTACCTGTTTCTTATTCATTTTCTATAGGATTCTGTTCACAAGTGCTCCCAGCTCCGTCTTCAACCTCCTCTGACCTCTGTTATTTTATGTGCATGTAATTTCAGCGATCCACAGCTCACGTCCATGCAGCTGAGTTTGGGAAGCAAACTCCAGCAGCACTTACCCTTTATTGGATTTTCAGTGAAACTTCAACATCGGGAAGTTCTTGTGCCCATGAGAAGGTGCCTGTTCCCAGGCTGCTGGAAGCTGGGAGCAAACTGTCAGAGCCAGGATCACCGGGAAGGAGGCTGTAACCTCCTGTTAGCACCAGCTGTCACATGGTGCTGCTCTTTATTGTTTGACACTGTAAAGAGCAGGGGCTGTGGCTCCGGCTTTCCACCTTCCAGGTTGCACCTGGGCCAGCCCCGGGGCCAACAGACGAGGGGTCTATTTAAGAAAGCTCGATGCTACCCCTCAAGCTCTCACTTGAGGCATTGTCTGCCACTTCTTGGTGCAAGGTGTGTGCTGGGAGGGGAAAGAAGTGAAAAACCTCTGTCTGACTGTGCTAAGGTGCGTTAAGTTAGAATAATGAACCAGAAAACTCTTTGCTCGTGTCTGTGCAGGGCAGGAGTCTCTGCCTGATGGAAGTCACAGCGAGGGGGAGCATTACATGGCTGGCCCAGCAAAACCCCAGTCCTCTGGGAGAATTTGTCCACGTATTGCTGCACAGCCCGTGGCTCTTCCCTCCAGAGAAGCTGCTCACGCTGATCAGCTCGCAGCGCCGCATTTAGGACACGTGGAACCTGCCTGTTGATGTGTGAGCTATGCTGGAAATGGATTTATTCTTTCATCCTTCACTCCCTGCTTTAGTTCTGCATCTGGCTGGTGAAACGCTTCATTTTCTTGTTGTTTTGCTTAATAAATTCGTGATGTGGACTATTCCATTGTGCGATAGCTTGTGCGCAGGGGTGTCTGAGTGACAAGACCATTCCCTGCCAGTGAGTATCTGTTTAAGGCATTTTCCCTGATGCTGCAGCTTTGCTATTAATTTTTTATACAGAGCAAGCAGCAAACAGCAGAAGATGTAATGTCTGTTAACTAGAGAAGCTTTCATGATATGCTGTTGAATTTTCTGCTCAGGATTTGTGCTGAGAGCCGTGTCGCTACTGGCCTGGGGACAGGAAGGCTCCGGGGGGGTGTAATAGCCATAGACAGGTAGATTTCATCGGAATTTATGACTGTGCAAGAGAGATTGAAAGGCTAAAAAATGGCCAGAAAATAGAGAGAGAAGCTGTTGGTAGCTTGCACAAGGGGAGAGTACACCATTAACAAATCGTGCTGTGCTTTCTGGTCTCTGATAACCAGCTCTCGGGTGTTGAAACCTGTTTATGAGCCGCTTGTACTGACGTCCTTCCTAGAGCAGGTCCGTGGCATCAGGGTGGAAGCTGTGTGTTGAAAGCAGTGGGAGAGAAGAATAAAGCTTCTCTAGTTCGGATTTCATTGTCTCCAACGGGTCCTGGATCACCCCGATTCCCATTTTGTGGATTGGAAGGAGCAGAACCAAGCTATAGAGTTTAAGTGACTGAGGCAGGCTGCAAACCAAAGCTCTGCTGATCTGTGCAAGGAGGCTTCCTCAGCGAGAGCTGAGCTGCCGGAGGTTCAGAGCACGTGCAGCTACAGGGCTGCTGGTGACCTTCCTTGGCGTGGGTGCTGCTGTTCTGCTGCAGTTTATATCCAGGGCTCCTGTGAGGAACAGGCTGATTTCCAGAATATTTTCTTCCAGGAGCATCTGTCACACGGGTAAGAGAATGGAAGGAGCACAACTGTGCAGCCCGTGTGGCCACGCCAAGCCGAAGGCTGGAAGTGACCTGTTGCGCCTTCATCTGTGACGCTCGGGTCAGAGCTCGGTGTGAGCGGCTTTACTGACCCCCGTGGGGCTTCAGCGGGGCTCAGCTCTCGCCAGCGTCAGGCTGGCACCGTCGTGGTCTTGGCAAACTGGTCTCCATGCCCAATTCCTTTTGCTTGGGAAGTTTGCCAAGCGGATATTCTCCAATTTGTTCATAGAGAGATTCGGGGAATACTTGGTTTGCTTAAAAAAATAGAATGGCTAGGTGGATTTTTTTTTTAAATTTTATTTTTTACAATCCTGACTACTTTGGAAAAATCCTTTGCAGTATCTGGATCTGCCTACGGAAGAGCAGGGTACCCCTGAACTTTCTTCAAAAAAGGGTAGCAGTTTTATTTTTTTCCCTCAAGAAGAGGAATACTGGTAAGAAACAATTATTTTCATCAGTCAGTGGCAGATCCAAATGCAGAGTTAAGAGTTTTCTACTGATGTCAGCTAGGACAACTGCTCTTTAATTCCAATTGTGGTGGCCAAAGCCTTGCAATTTCGTATCCTGGTTTCTGATGACTGTTTTGTGGCTAGATCAGTCTTGTTCCTGATATATTTAGATAGCAATATCTTATTCCTGTTACGTTTATGTTTAGATAGTGACATCTCAACCTGAGAAAGAGAGAGGTGGTAAAAAGAAGGGCTTGTGTGATTGTGTGAATTTGTTGATGTTTTTTTAAGAGCAGCTAAAAAGTCATTTTTACCAGAAAGCAGCTCTCTGAGCTTCTGAGTTCTAGTGGGTTGTGTCTAACTGCAAGCTGGGATGCTGCTTCGGTTTCAGGAATGATAAGGGGAAGAACCACAGCAAAGGCTTGAAGCAAATTCACCAAATTATGGGACATAAAGAGGCTTGTTTATTTATCCCTTTGACACACAAACAGTACAAATGCATTTTGTAATTCAGTTTCGGGTGGCTGTTCACAAATTGCCACTCTGATAGCCAGGGGCAGGACAGCGATGGTGCGTTCTATGCGCTGAGCAGTTCAGGAAAGGTGGAGCACGGCTCACTCGGCTCATCGTGCAGTCCATGGGTCGGTGGAGCCAACGTGGACAAGGGCTGAACATCTTGCTGGAAGGCAACAGGTCCTTTGAAACCTGTCAAAAAAGAAAAGGAATAAGTGAAAGAAAGAACTGGACAGGATTTCACACGTGGAAACGTCTTCAAGGCCAGGTCGGATGAGGCCGTGAGCAACCTGGGCTGGTTAAGGGCATCCCTGCCCATGGCAGGGGGTTGGATAAGATGATCTCTGAGGTCCCTCCCAACCTTGGCCATTCTAGGATTCTGCAACTCCCCATGTGTTGCCTGATCTAGTTGAGAGGTGTCCCTGCCCGTGACAGGGAGGTTGGATTAAATAATCTCTGAGGTCCTTTCCAGCCTCGGCCATTCTATGATTCTATGATTCTATGAAATTAACTGATTTCTTGCTGCTCTAGGGTCAGGTTCAGCTCCATTGTCCTGCTTGGAGTTTCTTTGGATTGACACAAGCGTCCCTGGAGAGCTGGAGGAAGCCTGGCTGCTGTGACAAGCTGAAATGTGTGTGGCTGGCTTGGAGAAAGGAGTGAAAGCAGGTAAAGCAGACGTGGCATTCACAGGTTTGATGTTTACTTCTGACGGAAGCTGGAAGGGTGTAGGTTTAGGTAGATCTAAGGAAGTTCCTTCCCCTGAGGGTGCTGAGGCACAGGCACAGGTCTCCTGGGGAGATTGGGGATGCTCCATCCCTGGAGGTGCCCAAGGCCAGGCTGGATGGAGCCTTGAGCAGCCTGATCTAGTGGGACGTGTCCCTGCTGTGGCAGGGGGCTGGAACTGGATCTTTGAGGTCCCTTCCAACCCAAACCATTCTGTGATGTGCTGACAGTGAATTCTCAGGGCAGGAAAATAAGTGAACCGTGTTTGCAATAGGAAGGTAACAGTTCCTTTAAGGCACCATTTGCTCAAAACTGAATTAAATTCACAAGTCACATGCGAGCTCCCAGCACACCTGCCTCCGGCTTTCTCTTACCATGGCGAGCAGTCAGCAGCCCAGCCCGCTCAGCGACCCGATCCTGTCCAGCCTGACCCCAAAACAGCCCCTGGGGAGGCCCTTTTTGCTTCTGCCTCGGTACCAACGGGATGAGCTCAGGAGGTCACTGAGGAACCTCTGGATGGCACCTTCATCCACAGACGTGCCCTCAGGCTGCTCCCTGGAATTTCGGGTCCATTGGAATTCAGCGTCTTGTTGATCCAAGCCCCCTGTTGGGATTGGGTTGTCCTGGTCATGGTCCCTCTCTTTGGAAACCAGAGGATGCTCCAGGTCCTCCTCCAACAGTGTGGCCAGACTCTGAGAAGAGAGGAAGGAAGATACTGGAGAGGGAGGAGAGGAGAAAAGGGAGTGGTTCGGGGAACTCTGTCGTTGTAAGCCGCAGTCAGTTTTGAGAAATGTTTTGAACATTTATCGAAAGATGAAAGTACTGAAGTGATTTCTGACACTGGTGATGGTTACCTGTAGTTTCTTCGGGCTTAAGGCTGTGCTCCCTCAGAGAGCTCTGAGGCTCCCTGCTGCTGCCGTGTTCTATAGGTCTGAGCTGACAAATTGCCAGTTCAGTCTTTCCTGGCACTGGGGTACAGGAGAAATTGTGAAAGATGATGTCGAGAGTGAATAAGGAGAAAGAAAAAATTATTGATAACTCAGAATAATAAGAGAAGCTGATGAAATGACAGGAAACGTTGAAATTGGTGCTAGAAGGATTATACAGTTCTTTATAGATTGGGAGGTTACTTCATATTTGGGAGTACTGGATCCCTAGTCAACTGAAATGTGTTTTCCGAATGAGTTGGAATTCCTACACACACAAGTACACACACACAAACACACACACACCTCCTTTCTCATGTTCTGCCTCTGGAACTTGAAATTGGAGACTGCATTACTGCACTGCTGAGCTGAAGGGGAGATCAGGCAGATACAAATCATTAATTCCTTTTTCAGCTTAAACCAGGGGCTCAGGAAGGAGCATGCAGGTGACTGCTCCAGGGCTCAAGGCTGGAGTCCTTCCAGAAAAATCGCTTTTACCCCAAAAGTCGATTGCTTCGCTCAGTCACAGGATGACCCCTGTGGAATGCCTGATCCCCAAACAGACCCCACAGCAAAAAAAACATTTTCCTTTGAATTGCCTCATGCAATCAGAAATTTAAATGCAGCAATCAGTTATTTTAACTTCCCTCCATTCTGCTCAGCAGCCCATCACTTACCTGCAAGCTGGGGATGGGCCTGGCCCCTGCCTGGTTTCGACTGGCAATAAGCAGCAGAAGGAATCCAGGGCAAACCAGAAGTTTTAGGTTCATCTTCATGTTTCGGTGTCTCGGCTTCCTCCTCCCCTCGAGTCTCCCCGGGTCAGTGTTGCCGTATGTCTCCAGCTGCCAGCCTTTATACCTTTTTGCAACCCCTCCCAGGTCTACCTTTAGAATTACTGCCACTGCGAGGATTGGTTTGAGGTTCTGCTCTGTTTTCATCCTCCCAGAAGGAGGAGGGAGGAGAGATTTCTCTTTCCTGACGGCGTTCTGCATCGCTCTGTCGCTGGGAGCCTGCAGGTCCCTGCAGCATGCTCTCTGGGTGCCACTGATGTATTTCACCTTGCTCAGCTCCGTGTTCCTTGGGTTGACTGCTAAAGCCTTCCTTTCCACCCAGAGGAAAATAATTGAGAGCAAAATCTGAAGTGGGAGAGGGAGCGAATCGTACCCACTACGCGTTGACTTGGCTCTTTGTTGCTGGGAGGTACCAGACCAGAGGGTCTGGGGTCTCATAAAACACATGTGTAAGAATTAAGTGTTATTACCCAGCATCATAATACCTCCGAGACAAAAGAGCAGGATCTGGAGAAGAAGGGAAATCCAAGTCCTAAATACGTGACAAGTAAGTTGTACTACTTACGGGCCTTAATGGCTAAAACCAGACTGACAGGCACAAAGAGCTTCTACACGGCTCATTTGAAGGAAAAAATTCCTCTTTTCCCCTGGATCCAGCTTAAAATGATTTTTCTGCCTGCCCTTTCTTAGTTTACCACACACAATTTATATTAAGCCTGAAGGGAAGCCCAGCTCCCACATCCTTCTTGCCACAGATGCCGCGTGACGATGAAAAGCTGCAGGATCAGAACGTGTGTGTTGGCGGGTTTTTTCATTGTGGGTGTGTTCTGGGGTTTGGTTGTGGGTTTTTTGGTTGCGGGTTTGGTCTTGGGTTGGTTGTTGGTTTTTTTTTTTGGTGGGTGTAGTTTTTGGAGGGGATTTGGCTGATTTTTAATGAACTGAAGCACCAACTTCATACAAATTGAATTCTGTGGGATGTTGGGGGGAGCAGAAGAAACGAATCAGTTCTTAGCCAAGGTCTGGGGGGGGTTTAAATCCCTGCTGCAGGACAGAACCCCCTCTACTGTAAAAGCACTTGGGAGATTTGTGGGTGCCCTGATGAAGCTGTTTGTAGACAACGGATCCTCCAAACTCCCATCAGTTCTAGTGAGTTTTTTGCTAGGTTCCACCCCAAAAAAAAGACCCGTTTTCTGTTTTTGGGGCAGTGAGGAAGAACAACGATAAAATCTAACGTTGCCTGTTTTGTAGGGGCTTGGAATTTGGCCCCTCTGAAATACAGGAATGTTCCTGAGCATGCAGGAACACATCTTGATCTTTCACTGGATTTTTTCCACGTGTGATGCAGGAAGCTAAAGGCCGTTGAGCTGGATCTGTGCAGAAGGAATGGAAATAAAGGACCATCTGGCACTTTTCATCTGGTCTTTGAGGTTGAGAGTCTTGGAAAAACTGATTTTGTGATGTGCCAGAAGGTTTAATATTTTCAGTATTTTTTCATCCATGGGTCAGGTTAAGAAATAACTGGTGTGTGCTGCTAGAAATGGGTGTTTCCGAGGAGACAGCTCATAAGCATCCCTCTGTGACAGAGAGGGGGGCCTGATGTTGCGTCGTTGGGATTTTTGTGTTGTTTGTACTGATTTGATCTGAATCTTATTAGAAAATGAAATTTCAGAGGCTTGAGGTGTGTCCTTTGTAACAAGACAGTAAGAGAAGGTCAGGGCAGTTTCAGGCGCGTCTCCTCTCCCCTAAAAAAGCCTGAAGTGGTTTTGTTGGTTCCATTGGCTTGTTGCAAACCTGCACGTCCAGGAGCAACGAACCTTTTTGGCCTCAAGATCCCTGAATTTGTTTGAGGGGGCTTCCGAGTTGTCTCTCTGGTGGCTGTTGGGAACACGTGCACCAGCACAGCCCTCGTCTGGGACTGTGTTGGTAAAATCAGAAGAGTTAGGGCTGGAAAGGACTTCTGGAGGTCTGTGCTGCAATCTTGTGCTAAGAGCAGAGGTCATTTAGATCCAATTGATCACGTTGGGTTCTGAAAAATCTTGAAGTATATGATTTCCTAATATCTAGCTGGAATTTTCCTCATCCAAGCTCACATTGTTGTCCCTCAGCCTGACAGCTGGGTGCTGTCTGAAAGGCTGTTCCATCTCCCCAAACAGCCAGGCTTGGTGTAAGGACATTTCAGAGGGTGCTGCATAACCTAGACGGTGAGGACAGCTGCAGCCCTTCTAGGCAGCAGTTGGGTTCAAATCGGATTTAGTGCAGTAGACAGTAGCTGGAAGCAGAAAACCATCCAGCGAACGTCTCTGCTTTAGTTCTGGATATTCTCGGGGCTCAGAGTAATGTTGAAATTCAGCATCTAAATAGAGCAATTTCCAAAATTGTTCTTGGGGTGGTGCAGTTAAGAGAGAGACGTCAACAGCAAGCTTCAGTCTGTAAGAAGGGAGGAACCCCTGGGAACAGTGGAAGATATTTGGGAGACAGGAACGGCTTCGTGAAGTGATTTGAGGGTTCCTTTGTGTGGGGACTCGCCCGTGGAGGGTGGCAGGAGGTGTCAAGCAGCAGCCAAGTTGGGGTGTGTTGCTCATCTCCAACAGCAAATTGTTTCCTAGCTTACCGAGATGTTTCTCCTGTGCCAGCAGAGATCTCTCTTGCTAAAAGAATAGGGCTGGGGTGTGCTGTTCCTCTGAGGGTGGAGCTGCCTTTCCTCCACGGGCTGCTGTGAGGATGCTGAGCTCCAGAGGTCAGCAGCGTGGGGCTTCGGCAGGTGCCATCAGAGCATCCTGCAGTAACTCATCCTCCTCCTCCTCCCGGCTCAGTGACCCATCCCAGCCTCCCTCTCCTCCCCAACTGCTCGGGCCAGCGTCTCCCAGCTCACTGCAGCTGGCTGAAAGGGCAGGGACGTCTATAAATATCTAAAGGGTGGGTGCAGGGAGGATGGAGCCAGACTCTTTTCAGTGGTGTCCCTTGACAGGACAAGGGGCAATGGGCACAAGCTGGAACACGGGGAGTTTTGTCTAAATATTAGAAAAAACTTGTTGGCTGTGCGAGTACCGGAGCCCTGGCCCAGGCTGCCCAGAGAGGGTGTGGAGTCTCCTTGGGTCATATTCCCTTCACCATCTGGAGAGCTCTCCATTGGAGAGTCCAACGGAGAGCTCTGAGGATGATGAAGGGACTTGAACATCTCTGCTCAACGTGAGGAGGACAAATTTCTGGAGAAATCTCTGGAGACTTTCAAACCCACCTGGATGTGTTCCTGTGGGGCTGCCCTGGGTGACCCTGCTCTGGCAGGGGGTGGCCCTGGAGGATCTTCAGAAGTCCCTTCCAACCCCAGACATCCTGTGGTTCAGTGTGATTCTGTAGCTGTGGTGCTTTCATCAAAGTGGGATCGCCAAGTCCTCAATGGAAGCTGGCACCCCTCATTAACATTCAGCTCGTTGGCCCCATCCTTTGCCCTCTCCCGATGGGTCCAGCAGAGGATCTGCGGCCGAGTTTGGTGCGCAGCATCGTCATGAGCCCGGGCTTGGCTGCAGGTGCTCTGATTGTCTTCTGGTGCTTCTTCACCTTCTCCTGAGGGCTGCGTGCTCACAGGCAGGCCCTGCTGCAGGAGCTGCTGCTGGGGTATCTGGAGCAGCAGTTCTCGCTGCAGGAAAGGAACTTGGCACAGACTGTCGAGCTCACCTAGTGTGAAGCTGACATGTATGCACTGGATCTGCACCAGAACAGTCCACAGCAGGATCTGGTCCCTGCCTCAGGGATGGCTGGGACTCTCCACTGGAGGAACTGTGATCTCCTGGTGCCTGCAATAGCCCCGTCTGTCAGCAACATAGAACCACAGAATTGTCAGGGTTGGAAGGGACCTTAAAGGTCATCTAGTTCCAACTCCCTGCCATGGGCAGGGACATCCCCCACTAGACCAGGTTGCCCAGAGCCCCGTCCAGCCAAACATTTGCTGCCGTGTGACTCCGAAGAAGCTTCCCTTGCGAGCTGGTCCCGCGGCACACGCTGCCTCTCCCCTCCTGCCCAGTGTCACTTGTGCGTCTGTAACAGCCACCGAGAGGACAGATTCGGGGCCGTCACCATTCTTCTGCCTTTTGCCTTTTCCTGGTCTGCTCTCGGCAGTGCTCCCTGCCCTCTTTGCCAGGGGTGAGGAAGGGCTCAGACCACCCGAGGACAAGGAGGGCAGTCGGTTGGCATTTAGGGGCAGGCTGTAGGTGGTCCTGGAGCATTGGGGTTTTGATGGTAAAATTTTAATATTAGGTGTGTCAGGCACATTTATCACATTCTGCTGGTGCTACTGGGGCCCGGCAAGGAAGCAGCAGTGAGGGAGGGGGTGAAATAGCTGGAGATGGTGCTCGGTTGTTTCAGTGTGCTCTGGGGCTCACCGCTGCTCACTGGGCAAGGAGCTGGCCCCGATCCTGATCTCTGCTGCAGCAAGGCTGGGAGCAGAGAAGCCACCTGGGACCTCGGGATCAGCCCCATAGCAGCCAAGATCAGCGTGGCTTCTGCCACTGTGGCCAAGTGCTGGCACATGGGTGGCGTTAGGGAGGGAAGAGCAACATCCACCGGTTCGCTGGTGGGTGTTCTGCCCCCCGGCAGTGATTCGTCTCTCCAGGGAGCTGCTTGTAGTTTCGGTGGTCCTGCTGTGTGTTTTCACGCTAAAGACCTCTGGCTTCCCTCTGTGCTGGTCTTGCTGACGTTTGTAACAATTCTGCTGTAAATTCTTTTGTCATCTAGAGGCAAGCTGCTTTTCCAAGGTGATTTAAGCACAGAGTCCTATTGCCTGGGGTTCAACACTCTTCGTCGCGTGGTGTCCTTGATCCTGCTTCCCACTCACCCGAGTCAGACCCCAGAAATTCTCAGGCTGCTCTTGCACTGTGAATGGTTCAGAATCCAAGTCTTTCATGCTCTGTGTTCTATTAGATGCTGAGGTCT